GAAGTTTGACAGAGTTTCCGTCTTCAGTAAGCTTGCCTTCGATGCACAGCATGCCTCTGATGATCGCGACAGCAGGCGGGTTTTCGCCGCTGCTTAAAAAATGGCGGGGGAGCCGTCTAAGCCGGCGCCCGCTGTCCTGATGGAGGACGGGTCCGTCTCTCAGTCGACAGAGCAGATGTTGGAGCGCGTGCAACGTCATTTTTGCGCTGTTTCTAAAGGCGCGGTAACGAGATCTGCAGATGTAGTGAAGTCTCGCCCTGGGCGTGTTGCTGTTGGATCGATGGACGTTTCCCCCAGCAGGTTTAGTGATGCCAACAGTAAGCAACAAAACAACTTGCGCCCTCGGCCGTGATGGCATCGGATCTGCCCTCCTGCAGGCAGGGGGGTTCGCGATGGCTGTGCAGCAGTCGAAGCTCGCTGAAATGGTCGCTGCGCTCGAGGAAGTCCCTTCCAGGACAAGGGGGGTTGATTGGTCAAGTTGTATAAGGGCAAGGGGGGTTCTCGGGATCTCGATTGTTCACGCGGACTCACTGTTGTCGACCATCAGGCGAAATCATTCATTCCCTTGTTGAAGAACGACCTTGAGGATGCATATCATGCGTTTGTGCCCCAGAGCCAGCACGGAGCTGCAGCAAAGAAAGGCGCCGATCTAGCGCACCATTTCATCTTGACTGCCTTTGCCTGCGCTAAGGCCGTGGGGCAATGTGCGTTCGTGCTCTCTGTTGGTCTCGCGAAAGCTTTCGACGGCGTTGTCCGGGAATTGTGCGCGGGATTCACTCGGGACGTCCCTGAAACTCGCAGCGCCCAGCTCGAGTACCTCATGGGGGTGGGGGTTGATGCTCCGGATACCGAGTGGATTTTGGTTTGCATAGAACAGCGCGGGCACGCCTTCCAGCAAATGGGGGCGCCAGAGAAGCTCACTCGCCGTATTGTTGCGCTCCACACGAAGTCGTGGTTTCAGGCTAACGGAGCGGACGGCCTCGCCTACGCGAGAACTGGCGGCCGGCAGTGCCGGCAGGGCTGCAAGTTAGGCGGGCTCGTGTTCAATTGTTGTTATACTCTTGCTCTTGACCAGCTTGCGCAGGCGTTGCGCGAAGCCGGCATCGCCGCCAGGTTGAGAAGATGTGCCAACCCAGTGTGGGAGACCACGACCACGCCGAGAGCGGGCGGTGATGGGGAGGAGGAGGAGGAGGTGCTTGACGTCGCATTTGTTGATGATCTTGGCATCGTTATTTTTGCTTCTTCTCTTCGTGCCATGCTGCTTGCCATCCATGTCCTCTTGCGTGCTCTTGTCGATGTTTTCACAAGGCACAGGGTGGTTATCAATTTCAAGAAGGGGAAGACTGAAGGCGTACTTGCTCTGAGGGGAAAGGGCGCGTGCGCGGCGTGGCAGACCTTGCAGACCGACAGGGGGCCAGCCTCGCCAATCTCTGGCTCCGGTGACCTTGTGCATCTTGTTAGCGTGTACGCGCATCTTGGCAGTGAGGTCGAGGCGAAAGGTGGCAATCTCGCTTATGCCAAGAAGCGCAGCAGTAAGGCAATGGGCGCTTATGTGCCGACATGTAGACGCGTGTTCAGGTGGAAGGAACTTGACATGGTAGTGAAATGTTCGCTTCGTGAGAGTCTGGTACTTTCGATGCTCTTGTTCAATGCGCATCTGCGGCGTTTCAGCGCGCGTGCACTGAAGGTCATAAATGCTACGTGCATGCGCGGTCACATACGGATCGTCGATGCTGTCCGGTTGGACGCAAACGAGAGGTCCGATTTTCAAGTGCACATTGAGTTCAGCATTCCTTCGATAGATTGCGAACTTGTAAAACGCAGACTCACGTGCTTGGGCAGATTGGAAAGGTCGTCCTCGCTTCCGTTGAAGGCCATGCTGTCGCTTCGGGGCAAAGATGGGCGGCCGGTGCTCCCGTGGGCGCAGCGGAGCGGCAAGGACCTCAGACTGTTGTATGAGAGGGTTGCCCGTGTCAGGGAAGTCTTACCTCACCCGGATGCGTGCCCTGAGGCGTGGCAGGCGTTTTTGCGCGACCACGCCGAGGAATGGGCTTCGCTCGTGTCGCAGCTCTTCTTCGCAGATTCTGTCTGCGACAATCAACGGGCCAGCGAAAGTGCGCAGCCGCTGGTTGCTTCGTTCTCGCGCCCGCGCTGCAGTGGCAGACCTTTTGGGGCCAGGCAGGCTTTGTTAACGCACATGCGTGTCAAGCACGGCGTGAGGAATGTCATGCGCATGTGTGCTGGCCGCGATGGTAAGTGCCAGGCGTGCCAGACTGTTCTCTCAACAAGACTCGGGCTGCTTGCTCACCTGAATAGACAGGCCAACCAGTGCGGCGAATGGGCGCTGACCAATTGTGCACCTTGGCATGGAGAGGAAGTCGCTGCATTAGATGAAATTGACGCGATGGCGCGCCACTCTGCGCGCAAAGCCGGGCTAAAACACCCCAAAAGCGGGGAGGCCGCTGTAAAGGCTGACGGAGCTGACGGAAGACTTGTCGGCCGAGTGCTCCTGTAAAGCGGGGGCCGAGTACTGTTTCATCGCCTTCCTGCGTCGCATCGGGCATAACGCATGCAAAAAGTGCCCTTCAACGCGTTTTTTTCCCGGGCTTTGCACAAAGCCTTTTGCGCTGGGGCTGGAAGAGACAGCTTGCCGAAACCGCGGCCTCCAAGTTCGGCCGCCCTGGGGCCGCCCTCGAGTCCAGAGTCGCCTCCAGCGTTTTGTCAAGTCCGCCCCTCAGGAAGCAAGAAAGGGGCACTTTGCAAATGTTTCTGACGCAGGGCGGCCGGGCGGAAGCCAGAACCGAGGATGCTGGAAATAACATGGACTGCGCGCGTGCGCGCAGACTCCCTTCGGGCCCCATCAGACACCGTTTTTTTGATCGCCCCCTGGCCCACGCGGGAGAGTCCAAGCCTTTCGTCCGAAGAGCTGGATGCGATTGCCAATCGCGACCGAGATCCGCCCTTTAGGTTCGGGCACCTGCAAACGCCAGACTTTTACATTGGAGTTCCCGAGCACACAAGGTTGCGCAGTTGCGAATTCTGGTGCAACGGCCCCACGTGCTCGTTCGAAGAAGCTTTCGAGGGTCAGGTGTATGTCGACTGCAGCGGCAGCGCGTCTCAACGCCCGTCTCACCGTGCTGCGGGCTGGATTGTAGTCTCCATGAAAGAAGGAGAACCTCACGCCATTCTTTCGGGCCGAGTAGGAGAAGTTGCCCCGCGAGGTTCAGGGGTGGCGGACATGCTAGCCGCTAGCAATTGTCGCAGCCTGCACCATATCGCCGCCAGCGCAGAAAGTCCACTTCAGCTATATCTACGACCTGGGTACGCCAGGAAGAATGCGCATTCAGGTTTCATGGTTCCGCTGGGCAAAGCTGTCGCGTCGCCAGAGAGTCCTTTCGTTAATTGTCAAAGCACCCCAGGAGTTGAACCAGGAGTTCAACGATCTGGAAACTTCTCACCACGCTAAAGGACGCGGCGCGGCCGATAACGTTGCCAAGAGAACTGCTCAGAAGTTTTGCAGGCTTTCCGGGGCCGAGATCAAGTTGGCCAAATACGATGAAAGCCTGCTTCGCCGCGTCCTGTTCTTTGTCGCGAAGATTTCGCCCAAGTGGCCCGCGCTGGCCCCGCGCCCAGGGAAGAAATCCCTCGCTAAACCGCAGAGTAGAAACCCACCGATGGGAGCAGCCACCGCTGCCTACGCCTGGGACCCAGGGGCCGTTCCCCCTCCGAGGCCTCCTCCGCCTCCTCCTGCCCCTGGGGATGTTGGCGAAATCCATCGGTGGGAGTGCGCAAATGGCCGTCACCTCTGTGCGCTGTGCCGGTCCACAGCTGAGAACGACGCCCAGTATCACCGAAGACGTCTCGAGCGCTGCCCCGGTTTCTGCACTGGCCTGGCCTCGCTGGCGCAAAACCCCAGGGGCCACCGTTTGTTGACTTTTGAGTGTTTGTTCAACTCGAGCACGGTAATCATGCGTTTCGATTGTGGTTCGTACTCCGGAACGGGAACAAAAGGCTTGTTTCGGGGCTCAGGAGACGGGGGTCGATGCAAACGGGGGTCAGCCAGGGCGCCAGATCTTGCAGGATCTTGCGAAGACCCCTTGTGGCTGACCCGGGTCAGCGAGCCGCTCGTGGCCGCGAGGCGGCCGCGCATATTGGCTGACCCGGGTTGAGAAGACTTGCGTTGCAGTTTTTCTTTTTTCTTGCGTTGCAGTTTTTGGTTTCCTGCTGACCTGGGTCTCGATCGACCCGGGTCAGGAGATCCCCGATTGTTGTTTAGCGAATGCCTCAAAGAACCGCAGTCGAACAGTGCCAGCACACAGCTGGCCAGAGCGCAAGCGTTGGCCCACCCGAGGATTGGCCCTCGTGCTCGCCATGTGCTTCGCCCGCCAGTTCTTCTCGAACTGTTTTACCGCCAAGGTTTGTCGGTCGCCGCAGCTCCCAGCCCGTCGCCAGAGGAGTAAAGACCCCCCGGAGGGGTCGTGCGGATTTCAGATTCGGCAGATCTCGCTGTTGTCTCGGCGCGGGGCGCGCAGTGATTTCGAATTCATCCGGCTGTGCGATGGTCCTCCTCCTCCTCCTCCTCCTCCTCCTTTCCCTCTTCCTCATTTCCTTTCACCAGTTTGCGGACTCTCTCTCGACAAGTTTTGGGGTCTCGCACAACGCCTTTTGGCGTTTGGTTTGTCGCCGCAGGACTTGTTTCCGCTTCTTTCGTCAGAGGCCTTCCTCCCACGACAGCCTGGGGTTGTTCGACTCTACGACAAAAGCAACAGGCGACCTGCTCCGACCGCCGCGCTGGCCAAGACAAGTGGGCCCCGCGCGCGTCGTTCCAGTAGGCGCGCGCGCCGTCTGGAGCAAACACCGAAGGTTCCGGTGGGGATCGTTCGAAGCAGGAGAATTGTTTGAGATATTTTTTTTCCCACGGAGGGCGAATTTGAGAAAAATATCCCGTTGCGATTTTTCCAATGACAAGATGTCAGGGTGCAGGGGGCCTCCCGCGCCAGGTGCAGGGCCGCGTGGACCCCACCGTCTGGACCACCACCGTGCGGATGGGGTTAATCGGCCAGGAGGAGACTTCCGCCAGCCGGCTGGCCGCCGGGATCCTCAAGGCCTCCTACGGGGCAACGCTAGAAGGGGATAAGCTCAGGGGGGGGGTGCATCGACATCCAATCGCCCATTGATCGCCGACACGGACCTGATAGCCCACCCCGCGCAGGACCATGCGGATTCGCTATCGGCAGCCGATCGCCGATTTATCGGCGATGTAGTCGATATTCCACCCCCCGAGCCAGTCCCCCTCGAACGTTCCCCCTCCAGGAAGCCTGGGCATCTTGGGGGCCCCCAACCGCACCGCCCATGTCCAGACCTGTGGCGATCCGCGCTTTTCCGAACCATCCTGTGGTGTCGGGTCCTCGCTGCGAAACAGCGCCCGCGTCTCCTTCCCTCCCGCTTCCCCCCCTCCCTTGCTACGCTCCCTGCCTCTGCCTTCTGCGCACCTGCCCCCCATTTCGGCGCACCCCTCACGAGGATCGTGGCCCCACAAGGAACTCCACGGAAGGTCCCAGTGGTTGCGTTCGCATGGCGGCACCGCGCCCATCTCGTGGCTGCGTTCGCGTGGAGGCACCACGCCCATTTCCGTACACCCTTCACGAGGATCGTGGCCCCATGGGAAAAAACGCCCAAGCCAACAATGGTCGCGTTCGCATGGCGGCATTGCGACCACCTCGGCGCACCCTTCTCGAGGATCGTGGCCCCATGGGGAATTCCACCGACGGCCCCAGTGGCTGCGTTCGCATGGCGGCACAGCGTGCATTTCAGCACACCCCTCACGAGGATCGTGGCCCCATATGGAGCTCCACCGAAGGTCTGAGTGGCTGCGTTCGCATGGCGGCACTGCACCCATTTCGGCAAACCCCTCACGAGTGTCGTGTCTCCGTTGGGAACTTCTCCGAAGGCCCCAGTGGCTGCGCTCGCATGGCACCCATTTCGGCACACCCCTCACGAGGATCGTGGCTCCAGAGGGAGCTCTACCGAAGGCCCCAGTGGCTGCGTTCGCATGGCGGCACCGCCACCATTTTCGGCAAACCCCTCACGAGGGTCGTGGGCCATAGGGAAATCCACCGAAGGCTGGCCCAGAGGCTGCGTTCGCACGGCGGCACCGCGCCCATTTTCGGCAAACCCCTCACGAGGATCGTGGACCCATCGTGAACTTCACCGAAGGCCCCAGTGGCAGCGTTCGCACGGCGGCACCGCGCCGATGTTGGCACACCCCTCACGAGGATCGTGGTCCCACGGGGAACCCTCCAGTGGCTGCGTTCGCATGGCGGCACCGCGCCCGTGTCGGCACACCCCTCACTAGGATCGTGGCCCCACAGGGAACTCCACGGAAGGTCCCAGTGGCTGCGTTCGCATGGCAACACCGCATTCATGTCGGCACACCCCTCACGAGGATCGTGACCCCATGAGGAAATCCGCAGAAGGCCTCAGTGGTTGCGTGCGCATTGCGGCACCGCGCCAATTTCGGCACACCCCTGTCGAGGATCGTGGCCCCATAGGGAGCTCCACCGAAGGCCCCAGTGGTTGCGTTCGCATGGCGGCACCGCGCCCCGATTTCGGCACACCGCTCACGAGGATCGTGGCCCCATGGGAAAAACCGCCGACGCCCACGGTGGTTGCGTTCGCATGGCGGCACCGCGCCCACTTCGGCACACCCCTCATGAGGATCGTGGCTCCAGAGGGAGCTCCACCGAAGGCCCCAGTGGCTGCGTTCGCATGGCGGCAACGTACCCGTTTTGGCACACCCCTTTCACCAGCATCGTGGCCCCATGGGGAACTCCACCGATAGCCCCAGCGGATGCGTTCGCACGGCGGCACCGCACTTATTTCGGCACACCTCTCACAAGGATCGTGGCCCCATGGGGAGCTTCTCCGAAGGCCCCAGCGGCTGCGATCTCATGGCAACACCGCGCCCATTTCGGCACACCCCTCACGAGGATCGTGACCCCATGGGGAAATCCGCCGCAGGCTTCAGTGGCTGCGTTCGAATGGCGGCACCGCACCCATGTCGGCACACCCCTCACGAGGATCGTGGCCCCCTGGGGAGCTCCACGGAAGGTCCCAGTGGCTGCGTTCGCCTGGCATCACTGCATTCATGTCGGCACACCCCTCACGAGGATCGTGGCCCCATCGGGAGCTCCACCGAAACCGGTACCCACAACGCGGTCCTTTTAGCTGCATATGTTTGGGTCCTTCGCCAGGATAATTCAATCGCGGCTTTATCCTGCGATCAGTGTCGGCCTTCGGGGGCCGCTCAGGCCCAGAGGCCGTCAGAAAGCGTCAGATTGCTCTCAGACAGTACTTCTGGCGGGTCGTTTTGTCAGTCCTTGCGTTTGATCCCCCTCCACATATCAGCCTCCAGTCGGAGAAGAGACAAATTCCATACATATGAATGTTCGACGCTCCGTGCGGATTTCTTGGATCGGCGCTGGACCCTCCTGGCGGCGCCTCCGCCACAGGTTCCTTCCGCACGCTAGGAAGGGCGTTCCAACGTAGAGCCAAGAAATGCGTGCAGACCTCCGACAGTTTTTAGTTATGTTGTTTTCCCTTATGGGGCTGTCTCCTGGCCGCGGGACCATCAGAGCATGCTCCAGGGCGGAGGAGTCAGCAGCGCGGGAGAAAGGGTCGAGACAGGTCGAGCAAAAGCAGGTCGCTGGAGGTCTTGGGACGCGACACAGTCCCGGGTCAGATGTTCTGCTCTCCGACGTCCGCCTGTGCATCGTCGACGCGGCGCGATCTCGGGGTCCCACCTGCTCTGGCCCCGCTCGGGAGGACTCTGGGATCCCCCCCCCCCCCCCCCCTCTTTTGCCAACGGCACCCTCCCTTGTTTCCAATGGCACCCCCCAGCTATTTCCAATGGCGAGACCATTTTCCACCTCCCACCCCCCTCCCCTGATTTGCCCAAGCTTACTCTCATGGCTCTCCGTGCTTGCATGGCTGCTCGCTTCTTGTTGCTCGCTTCTTTCTGCTTGCCATTTCATGTTTGGCTTCCTCTTCTCCCGTCCTCTCCTCCTCGTCTTCTCCTTCTCTCGCTCTTCTCCTGTCCATATATCTATTTGGAGTCAACGCTGGCTGATCTTATGGTGGTCATTCTGGTATCATTCCGGACGGTCGTCGATTCAGCGGCGCGTTGATGGCAATCGTGCCGAGTTTGACGGATGAGCCCCGGAGTGTAGCCGAGGAGTTTCTGAAGACTTACCCGCCTGACTCCAAAGCGTTGAATCATGTAGTGAAGTGTTGCCTGCTTGAGCGCATGCAAAATACTGATGTCAAGCGTCTGTATCTTCATCTCTGCCCGAGCCTCATAAAGCTAGAACTGCTTTTTGCGCTGCCCTTGAAAAGGATCAGTGCGTCGAGCAGCCGGGCAGGACCCCCAAAGTGGACCTCGAGCGCCGGGTACAGGAGAAATTGTACAATTGAGTTTCTCGAAAGCTGGCGGCGATAAGCATTCGTAGCCAGTGGCCGTCGAGCATGCCGAGCGCTTGTTTTTACATAGCGCGGTTTTGGTTTTCATTTTGGACCGTGCGGTTTGCCTTCCCCCTCCTTCCCCTCGTCCTCGTCCTCCTCGTCCTCCTCCTCCCTCCCTCCCCCCTGGCAGTTTACACGAGTGATCTTTTGTGGGACAGTGCACGCATATCTAGTTCCCAGGGTGGTGGGACGGAGGGAGCTTTGGGCCTGCCCGCTCCCCTGGGCAGAGCCTGGAGCCCCTCACCCCCTGCCGCGCCTCCCGCGGTGCCTGGTCACGGTCGCTCCTAAGCAGAAGCGCCTCCACAAGCATCGGCCAGTTTTGAGAGAGAAGGCGCTATTCAGTCTCGCGTATTTCTTCTTCGAGCGATGCGGTGTGGCAGTATAAAAAAGATCATGTTGATGAGCATGATGATGGTGGGAGGAGGAGGAGCAGGAGGAGGAAGGAAGGAGAGGAACGCGTTGCGCTGTCCCTTCGAATCGAGGACCCAACACCACAAGATGGTTGGGAGAAACAGGACAAAATGCTCGCGGGGCCTACGAGCATGATCCAAGATTTTGCCGTACAGTGTATGTTGTATGGTTTTTCCAAACGGATAGTGGGTAGTGGCCTCATGGGTGCCCTCCTGGGTATGAGTTGGTTGCCGGTCGCCTTGGGGAGGAGGTGCTGATTACCAGGGAACAGTGATCAAGACACCCCTTTCCAGACGCAAATTGTTAGGCTCACTCCCGCGCGCCCTCCCAACACATAATTAAGTAGTACCTAAGGCTCAGCCTATTCCTAGGTCGTCTTTGGATGGACAGCTATTGGAAACCAATGCAGACGACATGTGCGCGACGCGGGGGCGAGATGCGCCACGTCGACCCCCACCATCCTTGTCGAAAGCCAAAGCAAAATCACAGCGCAATTGCCATCATTATGTCTGGTGCCCTGAACACAGCAGGCAATATGTTGTACTCCCGCCGAGCCAGCCAAACAAAGAATGCGAAGTGATCGCGGGTTGCCCGCGCATGATCCAGTTTTAGTTGCCCAGTGCAGCTTCTATGTTTTATGACAGGGATGGTGGCCCTGTGCACAGCAGGCCATCTGCTGACACCCTCGCGGCCCCTTACAACAGAACATAACAAAGTGCTCGCGGCCCCCCCGAACATGACCCAAGATTTTGCCGCAAAGTGCGCCGTGCATTGTTTTGGACTGGGATGGCGGGGTGGTTGTTGTTGGCCCTGATTTGTCGCTGGTCAGGTGGGGGAGAGTGTGTCTATGTAAAAGGAGCAATGAAAAGCCCTTCCTTCCGAGCAGGGGAAGGAGGAACAACCCCTTTTACAACCTTCGCCCACATGGCAGGTGAGATTCGAAGCTTCTAGATTTTTCGAAGTTTTCAGCCTACTGGGGTCCTCGCTGGGCCGTGGGACCGTCAACAAAAACGACTCGGGATAAAGAGCCGGCCCAGGGGAAAAGGTCCAGACTTCTTGAGACAATTTTTATTGATCCACTGGCGATGACAGGCGCACGTCGCGATTCGCGTCGGCGACGTCTGGGAACGTCTAAGAGTGGCTCATTCCCAGACGGCGCCGGCGCAAATCGTGATGTGACCAGGGGGGGAAAGGGCGGGGGCGTGGCGGTGCCGGTCACGGGCGTTGTCGCGAATGATCAGGAAATGGGTTCCTTGAGACCCCACTGCGAAATTCACGACATCGGATGTCCTGGCGCGAGGGGGGCGGCCTTCTGAGAAGGCGGGGGGGTCCTCAGAATGCAGGGGCCTCCTTTGAGGGGCCCGGAGGCTTTGAGGAGCCTTCTTGGAAGACCGGGGCGCTTCTGCTGCCCCTGATGTAGGAGTGCCCCCCGCCCTCACGCAAGGCCGCCCTCCTCGCACCACCCGCCCGTGCGTGCCGCCGAGGAGTTCCAGTTCGCCCGCGACGGCGACGAGCGGCAGCTCATCCACCCGGCCGTCCCGCGGGCCTGGGAGGAGTCGGTGCCAGTCCGCGGGCCGCGGGCGGGGGAGCCCGCGAAGAGGCGGGCGGGCGGGGCGGGCTTCTGTCTTCCTCCTCCTTCGCGGGTGTCTTTCTGTCCTTCCTTCCTTCTGTCCTTCTCCTGCCCCCCCCCCCTCTCAGCCTCCACCCTCCCCCCCTCCTGAGTGGAGAGGCGGGCAGGCGGGCTTGGCGGGCTTCCTCTGCAGACCCCTTGCCGTTTTTTGATCCCCTGGCGACCATGGACGTGACCAGGGGGGAGGAAGGGGCGGAGGGGGCGGGCGGGGCTGGCTTTCTCCCCAGACATCCAGCCGCTTCAATTTTTCGGATGCGTGGGCCCCAGAGGTCTGGACCGCTTCCCTGGGGTCGGCTTTTCGCCCCGAGTCGTTAACTTTTCGATGGCCCCGAGGCCCCGCAAGGGCCCAAGGAGGCCGAGGCGACCAGAAACTGGGCGCTTCAATTTGTTCGGAGCATCGGATCTCTGTGTCTGCAATCGCCTCATCGTTTTTTGGACGGCAGGAGTGGAGGGAACCCGTAACGTCACGAGTGGCGCCAGCGCCGTCTGGAAGGGCGCCAGCGCGAAACGTGACATGACCAGGGGGAGAAGAGGCTGATCTGGAGCCAGCGCCGGCCGCGCCAGTCGCCTTGGTCGCGTCGGTCGCGTTGGTAGCGCCTGCCGCGCAGGTTGCGCCAGTCGCGCCGGTCGCGCAAGTCGCGCCGGTCTCGCGTTGGTCGCGCCAGTCGCGCCGGTCGCGCCGGTCGCGCCGGTCGTGCCGGTCGCGCTGCTCGCGCCAGTCGTGCCGGTCGCGCCGGTCGTGCGGTCGCGCCACCCAGAGCTTCTTTTCCGCGGAAAATGTGCGGAATAGATGTTGCTTCAACAAGGAAAAAGTAATCAACGGAAACAAAGGAAAACTGCGGAATTCAATCGAACATGAACAAAAAACAACGGAATTGCGGAATTCGAATAACAAAACAAAATAACAACGGAAATGCGGAAAAGTCATAAACTTATCCACCATTGACGACGTACAGTGTATTACGTTTAACGTGTAATATTATGCATATATCATGTAACATATATGTAATTTGTGACACGCCCAATGTGCATATGATAGAACTATAGGCATACATATTTGTATCGTTACATAAATTATACTGTGCACTGTACATCTTATGCGCGCATGCACATCCAACGTTGTTACATTGCTTGTGCGCATGCAGTGCAGGGGTATGTCACATGTCAAATTGCAGTTCGTTTCTGTAGTTACATTTGTTGTTGCATGTTTGCGGGCCCGTGCGGGGCTTGTTGCCGCATGCCCTGATTGGGCCTGTCGGCTAAATCGCCGCGGGTCCACCCCTGGAGAAAAACGAAAAACAGCATGGATGTTGACATACCCTTGCAAGAGAGCGCGCGAGGCCGCGCGCTGCATCGGCCCAGGTTCAAGGCGCGCAGGGCCCAGCCGCGAACGCGTGGCACCAACGGCCCTGGATTTCCCTCACTCATTCCTTCTTCGTTCGCCCCGCCCTCTCCTGTTTCTCCATCCTGGCCCCGCCTCCCCCTCCTCCTCCTCCTTCTCCTCCTCCTCCTCCTCCGCCTCCTCCTCCTCCTCCTCCTCCTCCTCCTCCTCCTCCTCCTCCTCCTCCTCCTCCTCCTCCTCCCCCCCTCCTCCTCCTCCTCCTCCTCCTCCTCCTCCTCCTTCTCCTCCTCCTCCTCCTTGGGTTCCTCACCCCTTTTTCTCCAGGGTTGTTTGCGCCAGCCCGCAGAGCGCGCGCGATGGCGGAGCCCGTGGACTCAGAGGGCGACGGGGAGGACTCAGAGGGCGACGGGGAGGAGGAGGAGGCGTCTGCGGCCTCTGTGGCCAAGGCGCCGCGGGAGACGAGGAGGGGAAAAGGAGGAGGTGGAAAAGCAGGGGGAGGAACAGGAGGATGGGAGGAAGAACAAGGAGGAGAGGGGCGAGGAGAAGGAGGAGGAGGAGGAGGAGAGGAGGGAGGAGAGGAGAGGAGGAGGAGAGGGAGAGAGGAGGAACGAGGAAGGAGGACGAGGACGAAGAGGAGGAGGGAGGCGGAAGGGAGAGAGGAGGAGGAGGAGGAGGAGGAGGAGGAGAGGCAGGAGGAGGGAGGAGGGAGGGAGGAGAGGGGGAGCGATGAGCGAGGAGACGGAGGAGGAGGAGGAGAAGGAGGAGGAGGAGGAGGAGGGGAGGAGGATGCACCCGCCTTGACCCTCCCTGCGCAGGCGCTCATGCCGCACATCAGCACGGCCCCCGACTTCTTCCTCTACCCATCCAATGCTCGGAAGAGCCCTCCAGACAGAGCAGTGCTGAAGAAGGAGGGGATGGGGAGAAGTAGACATGAGGGGATCGGGGTCGCAGGAAGATGACGAAATAACGGAGCGTTGGCGAGGAGGTGCGAGGAGGATGAGGATGAGGAGGATGAGGATCAGGAGGACGTGGACGAGGAGGAGCATAATAAGAGGATGAGGAGGAGGCCCAGGAGGATGCGGACGAGAGCGTGAGGATAAAGAGACGGGAATAGTGAGGAATGCCACATAAACGGGCATGGGCAGAACATGCCAATGATCACCGCCCTCCTGCAGATCATCCAGGATAGCAGAATCAAGAAATCAACTATGCGCGAGGCTCTCAAGCTTGTTCACGACATGAAGAACTTCCAGATGTCGGATAAGGCGGGGGCAGGGGCCAGAGGGAGACTAGGAGTTGTTTGTTTTCATGATTTGCATTTGATTTCATCGGAAAATCATTTAGGTTTCATTGGGGAGCCGGTCGATATTCATTGGGGTTCATTGGCAAGGCCTGGTGGCCCCTCCAAGAAATACATGAGCCGTGACATTCGAGAGAAGGAGGGAGGCTTCTCCTTCCCTCCTCCTCCTCCTCCTCCTCCTCATCTCCCCATCATCCCCTCCTCGTCTCCTCCTCCTCCCCCTCTTCCTCGGGCGCGGGCAGAACCGTGACAAGTTCACTAAGATCTACTCGTATCGGCTGACGGCTGCCGTGGCGCACGTCCGAGAAGCAGGACAGACACCTTCTCCTCCTCCTCCTCCTCCTTCTACTCCTCCTCGATCCTCCATCTCCTCCTCCTCTTCCTCCTCTTCCCCCTCACCCTCCTCCTCCACTCCTCCTCCTTCTGATTATCCTCCTCCTCCTCCTCCTCCTCCTCCTCCATCTCCTGCGCCTTCTCCTCCTCCTCCTCCTCCTCCTCCTCGTCCGCCTCCCCCTCCTCGTCCGCCTCCTCCCCTTCCTTCTCCTCCAATCCTCCTCGCCCCTTCTCCAGCGTGCGCCCAGAGGACGCAAGAATCTGAAGTGGTACCACGACCTCTTCGGCGAGACGCAAGATCAGGGCGGTGGAGAGGAGGATGAGGATCACAGCGACGGCGGCAGCTGCTCAGAGCCATCTGGCGGCGACGACGAGGCGAGGAAGCGGCCGGCTGCATTCGACCGCGACGAACGGCCTGCGCTCAAGAAGCAAGCATCAAAAAGGCCAGCAGCTGCGTCGCCGCCGACTGCGTGCAAGGCATCGGCGCCGCCGCCAGAGAGCACGGCATCGCCGCCAGAGAGCAAGGCATCGCCGCCAGAGAGCAAGGCATCGCCGCCAGAGAGCAAGGCACCGCCGCCAGAGAGCAAGGCACCGAGCAAAAGGTCAGCTGCTGCGATGATGATGGATATTCCCGAGACCTTCTTGTTCAGAAGGGCGCCGCCATCGCAGCCGCCGCCAGAGAGCAAGGCACCGAGCAAGGCGCGGCCACCGCCGCCAGAGAGCACGGCATCGAGCAAGGCATCGCCACCGCCGCCAGAGAGCAAGGCATCGAGCAAGGCATCGCCAACGGCATCGCCATCGCCGCCAGAGAGCAAGGCATCGAGCAAGGCACCGAGCAAGGCATCGCCAACGGCATCGCCAACGGCATCGCCACCGCCGCCGAGCAAGGCATCGCCAGCGCCGCCAGAGAGCGCAGCATCGCCGCCAGAAGTTTCGCCAGAGCTCGCCATCGAATACACAGTCAGCTGGGAGCAAGAAAGGGGCCAAGCAGCGTTGAGAAAGAAAATTGGGCGCAAAAAGTACGGGCCCCCAGAATTTTCGGATGCTTTCGAGCCAGATGAGTCAAGCAACCAGGTGTACGCCATCTTTAGCTGTGGCAAGTTCTTAGTTGATTCATTGGCAGCGACAGACTTGCCCGAGCTCTTGAAGGAGGGGCGGGGAGAGAGAGAGAGACCACGAGGGATGGGAAATGATGCGGGCGAGCGCAGAAAATAATAGGAGAGATGCGGGGACGGACCAGGAGATGGAGGTGGATGGCGCAGGAGCGGGAGAGGGATGAGGACACGAGGAGGAGGGGGAATTGGAATACGATGTAAAACGATGAGGGGGAGAAGAAGGAGGAGGAGAAGGAGGAGGAGGAGGAGTACACGCGGGGCCGTTGGAGGACGAGCACGAGGAGGAGAAGGAGGAGGAGGGGGAGGAGGAGGACGAGAACCGCGAAATGGGCGGGGCAGGCCAAGTCGGACATCAAGGCCAACTCCAGGAGGGCGACAGCGTGGACGGGTCTTTCACCAGCCAACGAGGAGCTCAAGGTGACGCCGCTCAAACAGAAGGAAACTTGTTTCTTTTGCTGCCTCTCTCTCCGCTCGCCCTGCACCGCCTCCACCTGTTTCGCTCCTTACATATATATATATATCCTCCTCTTCCTCTCATCCTTGTCCCCCTTGCCTTCCTCGCCCTTTTCCTGCTCGCACCAATGTCAGTGTTTCCTTTGGCCTGGTCCCGCTTGCTCATTGGGGTTCATTGGCGACTCATTGGGAATCATTGTGAGACTCATTGGGCTGGTCCGGCATCGTCGCTGGGGCGCCCCAGTTTCGGCTCCATTGGTGGTCTTCTGGAAATCAGTCCCCTGGTGCCTTCTGCTAAAATCCTTAGGGGTCATTGTTCACTCCTCTGCAAAACCTCGTGAAAAGCACTCGCCGCGCCTAGGGGCGGAGCACGATCGTGGTCATGAAGCAGGGCCCTGGCAGGGGCAAGCAGGTGTGCCAGATCACGA